GTAGCGACATTTAAAAGGGGGGGCAGGGGCTCGGACTCAACCCTGCAACCCAACTAGTGAGTACAAAGTAGTAAAACACACACACACACACACACACCACACACACACCCACCCCAACAACACCACACCACACACACACACACACACCACACACACCGGTACGTAGGGCCCCTACGAACTAGCGCACCGTTTGGGGAAACCCCACGTGGTCAAGCACTCAAGAAAATTTGAAATGTACAAAGGTTTTGCAACAAGGATAGTTCCAAAACTAAGGGAAAAAGCCTACGAAAAAGGTTTAGGGAAAACGGGCCCGACACACGGGGACGGAGGGTAAGGTGAACATGATTAAAGACATATAAAATATTGCGGGGAATAAAAAGGGGATAGAAAAGGGATGTTCAGGAGATGAGACAAAAAAAAACAAGGGGTCACAATTCTAAGTTAAGAATTAGATCATCAAAGGGATATTGGGAAAGTATTTCTTCAGTCATAGATTTGTCAGAAGTGGAATAGTCTAGAAAGAAATGTAATGGAAGCGGGAACCCATAAAACATAATAAAATAAATTTTTTTTTTTTTATTAAAACACACGCCGTTTCCCCCCAAGGGCGGGGTGGCCCGAAAAAAAAAAAACTTCCCCATCATCACCCCATCACTTCTTGCCAGAAGGGTGCTTTACATACAGTTTTTAAACTGAACATTAACCCCCCCCTTCAGAGTGCAGGACTGTCTTCCCATCTCCAGGACCAAGCCCCCTCCCGGTTTCCCTGAACCCCTTCAAAAAATTTTACTTTTGCCCCAACTCCAACAGCACGCAATATTAAAAACCATTTTTTCCCATTCACTCCTATAAAACCGCTCACGACCCTGCTGGAAGTCCAACCCCCCTCGCCCCAAAAAACCCCCCTTTACCCCCTCCCTCCAACCCTCCTGGGCCGACCCCTACCCCCCTTTCCCTTCCACTACAGATGATACATCTTGAAGTCATTCTGTTTCGGCCCATCTCCTACATGCCCCGAACCACCTCAAAAACCCTTCCTACCCTCTGGACAACATTTTTTTGGTAATCCCGCACCTCCTCCTAATTTCCCAAACTCGAATTTCTCATTATATTCACACCACACTTTGCCCTCAGACATGACACCCACGCCTCCCCCCTTCTCCTCGCTGCAACATTCATCCCCCACGTTTTCACACCCATATAAGACGTTGGTAAAACTATACTCTCATACTTTCCCCCTCTTTGCCTCCGGCGTTTTTTGTCCCCACAGACTCCAAAGTGCACCACTCACTCTTTTTCCCTCACAATTCTATGATTCACCTCACTTTCTAACCCATCCGCTGAACGTCCACCCCAAATATCGAATACTTCACCCCTCCATACTCTCCCCCTCCAACTGATTTTCAATTTTTCATCACCAATCTTTTTTTTTTCCCTCAAACCTACTTTTTCCCTTATTCCCTTTAATTTTTTTCTTTTGCACACCCTACCAAAAATCACCCCCAAATCCTGCAATTTCTCTTCAAATCCCCCAAGAGCACAGTGTCATCGGCAAAGAGCAGCTTGACAACTCCCACTTTGTGTGTGATTCTTTATCTTTTAACCCACCCTTTTCCCAAAACCCCTCGCTTTTACTTTCTTAAAAAACCCAAAATCTATAAAATATTAAACAACCACGGTGACATCACCATCCTTGTCTAAGGCCCCACTTTTTCTGGAAAAAATTTCCCCCTTTCCACATACTCTAACTTGAGCCTCACTATCCCGTAAAAACTCTTCACTGCTTTCATAACCTACCCCCCACCCATAACCTTGCAACATCGCCCATTTTTCCCCCCATCCCCCCCTGTCATACGCCTTTTCAAAACCCAAAAAAGCCACAAAGACCTCTTTGCCTTATCTAAAACTGTTTTACTTAAGTTTCACGTAAAACCTGTCCACACACCCCCCCCCTTTTCCCAAAGCCTCCTTTTTCCTCTGCTATCCTATTCCCTTTACCTTTAAACTTTCAATTATAACTCTACCTACACTTTACCAGGTACACTCAACAAATTTTCCCCCATAATTTTTTGCATCCTTTTATCCCTTTGCCTTTATACAAAGGAACATGCATGCCTCTGCCCAAACCCAGGTACCCCTTTTTCCTCTTCCATACATTATTAAATAATTGCCCAACCCCCCTAACCCCACCTGCTTTTAACATTTCTATTTTATCCCATCAAACCCGGGTGCCTTTTCCCCTTTCATTTTTCCCCACGCCTCACAACTTCCCCCAACTCACAACTGGCCTTCCCACCCTACAAGATTTATTTCCCCCTTGCCCCTTTCACGAAAACACAGTTCCCATCTTCCTAAAAATTTTAAAAATTCCTCAAATAATCCTTCCATCTCCCAAAACCCCCCTCTCCATTTAAAAACTTCCCCCTCCTATTTTTAACTGACAAATCCATTTGTTCTCTACTTTCTTAATTGTTAATCTCACTCCAAAATTTTTCTTTTTTTCAACAAATTTGTTGTAACATCTCACCCACTCTTCATTTTCTCCTTTTTTCATTTTCTTCCCACTTCTTTTAAATTCTTCTTTTTTCTCCATAACCCCTTCCCCCTTGCATCACTTCACTTTTTAAAAACTTTCATATGCTAACTTTTTCTCCCTTACACTTCTTTTCATCATCTTCCCCCCAAACCTCCCCTTCCCTCCTGCACCCCTTTCCTGTAACCACAAAATTTGCTGAAAACCTAACACACATTTTTAAAAACCCACCCCAACCTCTTTTGACCCCCTTGCCTATGCTCTCATTAGCCCATCTATCCTCCAAAACTGTTTTTATCTTTCCCTAACTGCCTCCTCTTTTAGTTTATAAACTTCACCTCTCTCTTCCCTGATGCTTCTATTCTCCTTGTTCCCACTTCTTTTACTCTCAGTGTAGCTTACAACTAGAAAGTTGATTCTGATATATCTGTGGCCCCTCTATAAAACATGTACATTCCGAAGTCTACTCACAGTCTTTTATCTACAATACATTATCCAACAAACTACTGTCATTTCGCCCTACATCATATCGCATGTTATACATTTATTTATCCTCTTTTTCTTAAAAGATGTATTACCTATAATAAACCCCTTTCTATACAAAGTTCAATCAAAGGGCTCCCATTAATTCATTTCACCTGGCACCCCACAAACTTACCTACCAACCTCTCTAAAGTTTCTCCTACTTTAGATTTCAAGTCCCCTACCACAATTACATCTTCTCACTTGGTTCAAAGGCTCATTACATTCATTAACATCCCCAAAATCTATCTCTTCCTCTGCATTCCTCTTTCTCAAGGTGCATACACGCTTATTATTATGACCCATTCTCGGCATCAACCTTTACTTTAATCCACATAATTCTTGAATTTACAATTCATATTCTCTTTTCTCCTTCCATAAATGATCATTTAACATTACTGACTACCCCTTCATTTGCTCTAACTCTCTCAGATACTCCAGGATTTTAAATCCCATTTATTTCCCCCCACTGGAAACTCTCCTACCCCCTTCAGCTTTGTTTCGCTTTTAGGCCAGGACATCCAACTTCTTTTCATTCATAACATCAGCAATCATCTGTTTCTTGTCATCCGCACTACATGCACGCACATTTAAGCAACCCAGTTTTTTATAAAGTTTTTCTTCTTCTCTTTTTTAGTATAATTGTATACAGGAGAAGGGCGTTACTAGCCCATTGCTTCCCGGCATTTGAGTCGCCTCATACGACACGCATGGCTTACGGAGGAAAAGATTCTTTTTACACTTCCCCAGGGACAATAGAGAAAATAAAAAAAGAACAAGAGCTATTTAGAAAAAGGAGAAAATCCTAGATGTATGTATATATATTATGCATGTGCGTGTCTGTGAATGAAGTCCCTGGTGACCAAAGTTGTAAGTAGGAGTAGCAAGAATATCCCTGCAATCTTAGGTGTTTATGAGACAGAAAAAGAAACCCAGCAACCTACATCATGCAAAAACGCAGTTACAGGTTTGTGTTTCACAGTCATCTGGGCTGGACGGTCCGGTACTTCCCTGGGTGGTTGCTGTCTACCAACTACTACCTATTATTAATATTATATATATATATATTTAGAAATATATTTATTATATATATCATATATATATATACATATATGTCAGTGCAGAAACAGGCGGGTATATACAGGGAAAGATCGCGGTCATCATAATTCGAAACCACATCAGGGGAGGCTAGCAAGGTTCCCTAGGTGACACTCTAGACCACTCGGCCACAGATGCCTCAAAAGCCGGACAGCGTTGTTTACAAAGCATGTTTCTTCCCAGCCCTGACACACCAGTCAGCCCCAAGCATAGCTTCAAGTTACTTCATTAGCCTCTATGTTCTGACCTCACAAGCGATTTTTATATCAATGCATTACGTACAAAGAGGCTGGCATATACAGAGAAAGACCGTAGTCAGCAGGATTCGAAGCCACGTCAGGGTAGCCTGGAAAGGTTCCCGAAGTGACGTTCTTCACCACTCGGCCACAGATGCCTCAAAAGCTGAGCAGCCTTGCTTACTAGCTACGTTTCTTCCCAGCCCGGGCACACCAGTGGGCCCCAAGCATGGTTTCAAGCTATTTCATTCTCCTGTATATACCCGCCTGTTTTTGCGTAGTACATTGATATAAAAAACGCTTGCGAGGTCATAACAGAAATGCTATGCAGCTTCTCTTATATCAGGCATCGTGATCTAACGTGAAGCTTACAGTATGATCAGTTGATCGGCAGCTCAAGTGGCTTGTACACCAGTGATGGCATAGTTAAGGGTGGCATTTCAGCCTCTGTATAAGCATGTTAAATTTACACTCTTTTACCTGTTGATGAGAGCCTCAATAAAATATCCAAATATACTGACAAACTTTTTTCTATGTTACTTTGCTAGTGTTGTTTTTTACATGCTACTTTGGCGAGTTACACTAATACATGGGACTGTGATGTTCTGCAGGGTTCTTAAGCACGAGGGACACAACTCTACCAGGTAACTATGGCGCTTTGGATCAAATAGCAGCGCTACGCTGGGTCAAACAACACGTAGCACAGTTCAACGGTGATCCCAGCCGGGTCACCCTGGGAGGGTTCTCCTCTGGCGCATCATTCGTCCATCTTCACATGTTGTCTCCACGATCCAAAGGTCAGATCTTGTTATGTTTTAATGATGATATGTTTACTTTCACTGCTTGTTATTGTTGATGTGTTTATTTTCACTATTTGTTATTCTTGATGTGTTTACTCTCACTAGTTGTTATTGTGGATATGTTTACTCTCACTGCTTGTTATTGTGGATATGTTTACTCTCACTGTTTGTTATTGTTGCTGTGTTTACTCTCACTACTTGTTATTGTGGTGTGTTTACTTACATTACTTATCAGTCTCGTTTCACAATCTGAAAGAAATAGACGCATGTAAGTTCTTTGCCTGTTTATTTGACTAAGTTGATAGCGAACCCAGCTGAGCAACATTAAATCCGCATGAAGATGGGTCGCAACTGCATTGACTTGGAATGTGAACTACGTTAAAATCCAGTAAAAATAGTGATATTCCGTCGACAAGTGGTGTTTCTCAGGCTTAATTAAGCCAACAATGCTCCTTCTGGTAGTATCCCTCGCTCCACTTACTGGGGTATTCTTGTACAATGAGAGATGACTTCGAGTGACCTCATAGTCATATAGTGATTAAAGAGACACCTTATTTAACTAATCAGCCGATTCCTATGCATTCCTTCCCTTGCAGGAAGAGAGACAAGATGGACTATGCCCATACCTCGGCTTTAATCAGTGAACTCCTCTCTAGGGAGGCTCCTGGAAGCCTGTGAATGGCTCATGATCCAAGGAAGTGGACCTGCTTTCATCCTTGCATCGAACATGAATGCCTCGTATTTTCCAGGCACTGTATAACCCCATATGGGTGTAGCGCTACGTTCCTAAATATAATAGATACAATAATCAGACAACAGATTGAGGATTGTATTACTTCTGTGTGCTGAATATAGGAACGCCTGAATCTTCACAGTTCGTAAACTTATAAAATGTTTTGAGGTGGTATCCACTATCCAGCATAACCAGTGTGGATATCTTAAATGAAGCATTATCTTGAGACAAGGATATGATGTGACTAACAATTTAAGTTGTTTGAGTCCGTGTGTCCATAACCACAAGCATGTGGGAGGGTAGATTTTCCTGCAATGGTGGAGTCTATTCCTCCAGTGGGAGAGTCATGTGCTGAGGCTGATAATGGTGGATAATGATGTAGATGAATTAGGTGATGGCTAGAGTATTTTCGAGAAATATGGAATCAACACTCGCAAAAATGAAAGAGACTTAAAATGCAATTTGAAGCAAGAAATGGAGATGACATCAGCTCTGATTCGCTTCCTAAGTCTGCCCGATTAAATTTCTCGTCCCTTACTACTTGACGCCAGTATATAAGCGCCAGTCTTCTTGACTGTGCTCGCCGGGTCACCATCTGGAGAAGACCCGGGCCGGAAGTACCGGCAAATCTCTAATGAATGAATGACTGCTCAGAGCGGAACGGACAAGTGAAGTAGTAGCAGGAGCAACACACACAGCAAGAGGCATTCTTGAGCCTCCCCAGCGCTCGGGCTTAAATGTCCAAACGGTGCTCCGTGGAATTGTGGCAAAAGCTCTCGCTTCACACGATGTGGGTTCGGGTTCGATTCCTGGCGAAGGGGTGGAAACATTGGACGTGTTTCCTTACACCGGTTGTCTATGTTCACCCATCAGTAAAATGGGTACCTGGGTGTTAGTCGACTGGTGTGGGTTGCATCCTGGGACAAAACTGACATAATTTGCCCGAAATACTCTGCATAATAAGCGGCTTTCTATATAGTAGTATGTCATTGATATCAACGAGGCCTGTATACCTTGTACATGTACTTGTAGTAATTTAAGATATTATTATTATTATTATTATTATTATTATTATTATTATTATTATTATTATTATTATTATTATTATTATTATTAAAGCTGGGGTGTGGCTCCAAAATCATCCTGTAGTGCTTGCTGCCTTTGCGCCTTCTGACATCGTTTGCTGCTATGCAGCTGCCACACCCTTCGAGCCCAGTGTGGGTGGGGTTTGTGGCAGCCCAAGGTGTCTAGCTTCTCCCTCCGAGCCCCGTGGAGAAGGGGAATGGGGCTAGGACTGGGGACAGCTACTCCCAGAAGAAGAGACGGTACTTGTACCTCATTGCATGGCAGACATTGCATTGAGACACTCCCTCGGCAGTGGGCCAAGGCCGGGCTACCTCTTGGAAAAGGCCTAGAATGGGCGATTATACCTGCGAATCTACAAGAATTACCTGTACTCTTCACGACTGCGGTGCTCTTCACACCAACTCCAAGGCTGAGGGACTGTTTACCTTATCTTTTGTAAATAGTTCTACAGTCTTCCAATTATGTCCTTGAATTTGTGTTGATAAAGCCACTGGGATGGCGAAACGTCTACAATAAAGATACCCAGATGTTGCACATGTTTCTAATTTTCATCTTGTCGGTATTATACCATTCATGTAGAGGAAGTTCTGCGCACTACCTCAAGCGATCCCAGCAACAGCAACCTTCCCCTGCTACATGCACCTGGGGCTGACCATGTGGGTGTCAGCTCACGGGCTCTTGCTGGACTTTACAATAGTGTGTGACAGGAGGTTGGTCTACCTGCAGGCTACCCCATAACTATGTTCACAACTCCTCTATGAGTTTGAACACTGGTTCATGTTTGACTTCAGATAATGGAGTTGTGCAAACAGCCCGGGGAGCACGTCAGCAGAGTCCCATGACTTTCACTCTCCAAACTAGCGATGTTGCTTTTGCTGATTCCACCAGATTAGCTGACTCATACATCTGTCAATTTTCACACACAACTGGCCCAAGCTTACAGTTGGGGCACCATGTGAAGCTAACGATGATGGTGCATTTATATCATATAAATCTTAAGTCTCAGGAACAAGGAAAACTGCACATTGTATCTGGTGATAATTAAAATATTACTCATGGGTGAGGATGATGTCGGTGATAGTGATGGTAATACGTGTAGTGATAATGAAATTATTTAAGAATATAATTGATGATGGTGAAATTAAAGAGTGTAGAGTAGATGGAAGGGAGAAGAAAGATACCAGCGTGATATCACCTCTCGGGGATTTCCAGGAAAAGAGCGGAAAGAGCGCTGCCAGCAAAATGAAATCGCACTTATAAGTAAGTTAGATCAACGAGGTAAAGAGCAGATGGACGACGTTTGCCTGTTAGTAAATTTTACTTTTATGTGAGAAACTATTCACTTTTCCAGGTCTTCTGTAATGGAATAAAACTCACCTAAACTTATCTTTCTTGTACAACATTTAAGTATCTATATTTTGGAAAAAGTTTCACCAGCCAGTGGCTTTATCAGTCCAATACAGAGAAGAGCAGTTGAAGACGAGGAGGAGTTTCAGGTAATCAGTCACTCAGTCTGCTCAGCATATTCACGATGGATGTGTTGACTCTCACTATTTTATTGTAGATGAATGGCTCAGAGAACCGACACGTTGATAAATTAGACACATGTGCAACTCTTGGGTATCTTTATTGAGGAAATGTTTCGCCACACAGTGGCTTCATCAGTCCATACAAAGGAGAAACTTGAAGAACAGGAGAAGAATGAGGTAATCAGTCCCTTAACCTTGAGTCGATGTGGTCAGTCCATCAATCTTGAATAGAATACAGCATATGTGCAGAGTAGTAGCTTATATACGGTAGGCAGGAGAGGTGCAGCAGTCGTAGGTGGTGTTACATTTGTTCAGTGTGGAAGTAGGTCGTGCCCAAGGGTTAGGCAAGCGAGAACCGACACGTTGCACATGTGTCTAATTTATCAACGTGTCGGTTCTCTGAACCATTCATCTACAATCCTGTCAGACACTGCAACTTCTTGGGATCTTAATACCTGGGAATTCTTCGCTTGCCTAACCCTTGGGCACATTAGCCAGCTTCAACAACTCTGGCACAACACCAGTAAGGTTGGACGCATTAAACACTCTCGTTAATGGCTGACTAAGTTCCAACTTGCATTCCTTAAGTACCCTGGGAAACAACTCGTCTGGCCCCGCGGACTTATTTTGCTTCAATTTGTCTATCTGCTTGATAACCATGTCCCTCGTGACAGTAATATTAGTTAATTTGAATTCATCAGGAACTGAATAATTGTAAATTTCTGGAATCTCATTTATAGGTCCTACTTTTTCCTTCACCTTTGGCCTATACACTTGAAAAGCCCCTTTGGATTGATCTTTGATTCATTAGCAACTCTAATTTCATAGTCACGTTTAGCCATTCTAATCCCCTTTTTTACTTCTCTTGTAAGGTGAACATATTGGTCAGTAAGGTTAACCTCTCCTCTTCTGATGCGCCTATAAATTCCCCTTTTCTCCCCTAACATATGCTCTAGCGTCCTGTTAACCCATTTGGGATCTTTATTATTAGACCTAATTTCTCTCTTGGGAATGTATATACTCTGGGCACACTGTACATTCTTAAGGAAAAAATCATAAGCGCAGATCCCTTCGTAATCATAAGTATGATCATCATCAACAAAATCATTAGCTAGATAACCCCAATCGAGATTAGACAGGTGTTCCCTAAGTCCATTGTAATAGGCAGAACGAAAATCAGGGATATTTTTTTTTACCGTATTATCATTATTCTTGTATTCCCAGTTAACTGTAAAAGTGATGGATTTGTGATCACTTGCACCAAGCTCTTCAGTGATCTCCAGATTATTTACGAGTGTTTCCTTATTTGACAAGACTAGGTCTAGCAAATTATTACCCCTGGTAGGCTCTGTTACACACTGCTTCAGAAAACAGTCCTGAACTATTTCCATGAAGTCACTGGACTCCAGATTACCGGTCAAAGAAGTCCAGTCGATTTGACTAAAGTTAAAATCCCCTACTATAACTACGTTAGTGTGTCTAGAAGCCCTAACAATCTCGTCCCAAAGAAGTCTCCCTCTATCGTGATCCAAGCCTGGAGGTCGGTATATTACACATAGAATTAGTTTTTTGACCTACAAACTCTTCGGAAACAGATTCTGTTTCTAGTCCATCTATTTTTAGATCTGCTTTTATGCAACAATTAATAT